TAATCTGAATTGACCTTTTTTTTCAAAGAATAAATATATTAACAAATTTGGCCTCAATCAATTATTTACAAAGATTTAATATATTTAATATTCCCTATTAGGGAATTATTTTTTTTTTTTCATATATATAGAAGGTAAAATTATCAGAAGTATATTTCTTTTGAAAAAAGAGCAGACACCCTATGAGTGTCAGAAAGAAATGTTTTAACGAACTTGTTACCACGAACGGATTCGGCTGACTAACCATTTCTTTTATCGCGAGAGCACTCATTGTTTTGTGTCTGGTTGAGGGTATATTCGAAGCTACCGTTTTCTAGAATGCGAGAACGAGAAAAGGAGAAAACGAGAAGTACGACTCTAATGCCAACAGGACTTTAATTAACTCGGTATTGTCTCTTTACTTGTGTCAGTGGTTTTCTCTGCAGGCGCGCAATTTCTCCATTCTTTTCTGCGAAAATGTTTCGTTTAAAATTGTCTTTATATATGTTTATAGTTATTATTGCAAATAAAACAATAATCTGCAAACATTTTCTAATATTAAAATTACGTACTGTAAAAATACAGTACTAATCCAAACGATTAAGATTAGCCCCCCATTTTTTTTTCTCTCTTCAAATGAATCATAAACAATCAGCAATTATTACAAGCTTTCTTATTCTTGAGAATTACTTTTCTTTTTTTTTTTTTTTTTTTTTGTGAAAAGTGCCAACGGGAATTCGTCCAATCTTTCCGGCTACAGCTTTCAGTGAGCTGTATACAAGGATTCGCGAGAAGAGAGGTGGGAGAGATGGTTTGAGGGTGCGGATGAAGAAGGAAGCGGTTGGAAAAGCGAAATCTGCAAGCCAAAACGAATCAGAGTAATCCTACTATGGGCGCGTTTCTAAAACCCCCTGCGGGTGGTAAAGGTGGAGCAGTAGCGGTCGATGAGCATTTCGTAAATGGATCGTTCCTACTCTGTCTCTCTCTCTTTCTCTCTTCCTCTTTCTCTGCTTTTTTAGGAGTCACTCTTCCATCTCTCCCACCTCTACAACCTCGATCACGACTCGCTAACCCCCTTTTACGCAAAAGCCACCACCGCCTGCCACTCTTGCAACCCCTCTTCACTTTACTCCCAAACCCCCCCCCAACCCCCAAATCCCCTCTTTTGCTACACTTTCGGCAACCATCTTCCTGTCGTCCTTTTAAATTGCTGATGAGCATTTTTAGATTGCATTCTAGGGAGGAAATCGTCATTGAATTCTGTATGCGGAAAGTTATTATTATTTTTTTTTTGCTTAATTTTAGTGTTTTAAAGGTTTACGGAGGAAAAAGGTTAGATGCTTTGGATTATAATTAGCTGCTGCTAAATAATAATTAACTGATGCAAATTATAGTCAACTCAACTAATAGTTTTCTATTCCAGTTGAAATTAATTGCTATTAGGATATATAGAAATTTTATTAGCTATTCCAGCTAGTTGGTGTTAACAATTAGCTAATATTTAAGTGTACACTGAGAAAAGTATGCTATTGACCGAACAGTATTTTTTCTAAAAGTATCGAAAATACGACTGTTCCAAAAGCATATGCTGTAGAATTTATACAATTTTACAAATTCTATAGCAGATGCTTTGGAATTAATAATTTTTTATGCGTTCGGTATATATGCTTTTGGAACATCAAGTGTCATTTCTGCCGAAAGCATAAATTTCCAAAGCATTAAAAGTATTGCTCCAAAAGCATATGTTACAGAATTTGTAAAATCTAATACAAATTTTGTAGCTTAAAATCTGTGTGCTTCAGAATAAATAACTTTTATGCATTCAGCAGAAATGTTGTTGATGTTCCAAAAGCATCTGCTATTGAATTTGTAAAATATAATAAAAATTTTACAGCTTATGCTTTTGGAACAATATTTTTTGTACTTTTGTCGGAAATACTGTTGGTTCAATAGCATTTAGATTTGTAAGATATAAAATAATTTTTGTAGCAGATGCTTTGGAATTGATAATTTTTATGCTAAAGAATTTTTATTACATTTTATTCTATATAGCAAAATTCTATAGCATATGCTTTGAGAACATCAACAGCATTTCTGCCGAAAGCAGAAAAATAATTAATTCCTAAAGTATTAAAAATATTGTTCCAAAAGCATATGCTACAGAATTTGTACCGCTTATTTTCCAAATTCTTTAGCAGAATGCTTTGGAATTAATAATTTTTTATGCGTTCGGTAGATATGCTTTTGGAATATCAGTAGGATTTCTGTCGAAAGCATATATAAAAATTTATTAATTTCTAAAAGCATTAAAAGTATTGCTTCAAAAGCATATATGCTACAGAATTTGTAAAATCTAATACAAATTTTGTAGCTTAAATTCTGTATATGCTTCAGAATAAATAATTTTTATGCATTCAGCAGAAATGTTGTTGATGTTCCAAAAGCATCTGCTATTGAATTTGTAAAATATGATAAAAATTTTACAGCTTATGCTTTTGGAACAATATTTTTTATACTTTAGGAATTAATTATTTTTTTGCTTTCGGCAGAAATGCTGTTGATGTTCTCAAAGCATATGCTATAGAATTTTGCTATATAGAATAAATGGTAATAAAAATTCTTTAGCATAAAAATGATCAATTCCAAAGCATCTGCTATAGAATTTGTAAAATATGATAAAAATTTTACAGCTTATGCTTTTGGAACAATATTTTTTGTACTTTTCTCGGAAATACTATTGGTTCAATAGCATTTAGATTTGTAAAATATAAAATAATTTCTGTAGCATATGCTTTGGAAAATAAATAATTTTTATGCCTTCAGCAGAAATGCTGTTGATGTTCCAAAAGCATTGCTTTTATATCATATTTTACAAATTCTGTAGAAGATGCTTTGGAATTAATAATAATTGTTATGCTTTTGGCAGAAATACTGGCATATTTTTCTGAGTGTGCGATAGTTAATATTTCCAGCCTAACGTTAGCTATTGCTACTAATAGCAAATATCCATTTGCTGCCGTAGCAAATAATTCGCTGAAGTAACTAAATCGTTACCAAAAGAAGCAAATGGAAATCACCTAATGCAACACTGAAAAAAGACTTTGGTTCTGCAACAAAACGTTTGGTTGGTATTTAAACAAAAATTTTTCTGTTACCTCAACAAAATTTTTGTTACCCCATACAAACTTTATCTATAGGACTACAAAAATCCCTTTGTTTAATTTTGATTACGTCAACCAAATTTTCATTAAAACAATCAAAATCAAAGGTAACAAAAAAATTTTACTAGTACCAACCAAAATAGATTAATAAAAAATTATTTAATAACGAAAAAAAAAAACTTATAAAAACGCATCATTAAGCAAAAATATATACAATATATTAACAGAGTGTATTATAATAATAATCTTGTTTTGAGAGGGGCTGATTTAAATGTTAACTTAAACCATGAGTCTAATCCTGGGATATAAAAAAGAGAAACGCAATCGCATGATAGTGGCATTTTCCCTCTCGAGAAGCAATGAATACGAATAGGTTTCAACGATAAGATCCGAGAGTGGTGGGGGGGGGGGGGCTAAATTAAATGATTTCCATAAGTAGGTGGGTGGCGACACATGCAAACATTGACAAGCGCTCCAGTTTTCCCTATCTGAAAGAGGTTATAAGAAGGAATTATTATTGAAACAGGCACACGACACGTGCCTCAAGAGCCTGACGAACACTGATATACAACTATTGCCAATTACGCTACACACGTTCATAATAACACAATGTATTTTCTTCACAACAAAAAAAAAAAAAAAAAAAAACGTTTCGCTTTTTAAAGGCAAATTTCTTTTCAAAAAAAGAACAATACTAACGAATTTTTTTTTTTTTTTATATAAAATTGTTGGGTTCTAATTTTTCACTGTAAAAAGAAGTACTAAAATACGATTTTAGATATCAAAATAAAACCAAATGACAATTTAGTATCTAAAGTAGGTATTAAATTAATACCTTTTGTTTTACAGAGTTATTGCGATTATGCGACAAGGGAATTGGAGATAGTGACTCGTATCGCAGCGCCATCGGTTGGTAATTTAGAAAGTTTTTTTTTTTTGGAAAATATAAAAATTACCGACATAGAAATCTACTTTGCCGACTGATGGTAAAACAGTTTTTTTAGTTTGAAACTGTCGGTAATTCAGAAATCTAAAAAATTTTATCAAATTATGGAAAAAAAATGTTTATAAAAATTTTTTTTTGTTATTTTTATATTAAGAAAGAGTATATACAGTGTTTAAAGAAACAGTGATGATACATACAATAACCCTCGTGTTTTTGGGGGATGTTGGGACAGCTTCGTCACGTGTCAATTCGCATTATTACTATTTACCAAAGAGAGAAAGAGAGTGAGCCGAGAAGATCGATGACGGGTGGAGGTCATTCGTGGGAAAAGGCTAAGTCAAACAAAATAAAATAGAGATATATATTATAGTGTGTCTGTATCTCTTTGGTTTTACTTCGGGAACTTTTTTGCCGACCCTATAACACACCACTTTAATCCCGGATTGACTCGTATTACTTATTAATATTTTATGCAAACACCGTGATTTAGGACACGAAGAAGGCATTATATTGGCCGCACGCTCTCTTTACTCAAAAGGCACGATAAGAGCCTAGTGAAACAACCATCTTATCGGCCAACTAGAATCATTAAACTTGTATATATATATAATATGGAGATGTCTTCATTCTTTGAAATTTAATTCTATATCTGATGAATATATATCTTGATAAAATTTACAGCAAAATTGAAATTTTTTTTTTTGTTAATCCTTGAAGTAATAAAAAATAAATAATAAAAATTACGAAAATTAAATAAAATTTCGAAATGTTTTCAGAAAAAAAACCATTTTTTGTCAATAAAATTTCGAAATGTTTTCAGAAAAAAAACCATTTTTTGTCAATAAAATTTATTATAGTAAATTAAAAAAAAAAAAAAAACAGTTGACATTGAAATTTTAATTCTTTGATTTTAGGTTAATTATATATCAAAATTTGGAATAGTATTAAATGCAATGTTTTATTTTAAATAAAAATTTCAAGAAAAATGCTAAATTGAAAATTTCTAAAATGGAGATATTTGAAGTGATTAAAAAAAAAAAATTAAATATTCCACATGATTTGAATTTAATAAAACTTTGGGAATTGGTATCTCCTGTAGTTGTTGAAGAAATTGCAGCAGATTTTTTGCCTATTCCAAATTTAATGGATACAAATGCCTTTGAAATAGGTTATATATTCGTACAAACTCAGGAACAGGTGACAAATTTTTTTCTTTTGGAAAATTAAACATCTTTTGAATAGAAAAAAAAAATTATTTCTATTTTCGGTATAGTCTAGTTGTTTTGGCAATTCACCACTTCTCAGAGTACTTGGACCAATTAAAAATTATGTCAAGAAAAATGAAACTAATCGTAAATGGCTGACAAAACAATTTCCAACTGATAAACAATTACCAGAATATAAGAATTTTAAAGTATGTTTATAAATTTAATACTGTTAATTAATAAATAAATTAATTAATAAGCAAATTAATAAATGAACTAATTAATTAACTAATTGATAAATAAATTAATAAACAAATAAATGAAATAATAAACAAATTAATAAATTAACTAATAAACAAAGTAATAAATTAATTAGTAAACAAATTACATACAACGTTAATTAATAAACAAATTAATAAATAATTTAATAAATAAAAAAATTATCAATTAATGAACAAATTAATAAAGAAATCAATTAATAAACAAGTAAATAAATAAATAAATTAACAAATTAAAAAATTAATTAGTAAACAAATCAATTAATAAATTAATAAATCAAATAATAAACAAATTAATAAATTAATTAGTAAACAAATTAATTAATTAACCAACAAATTAATAAAGAAATCAATTAATAAACAAGTAAATAAATAAATTAATTAACAAATTAAAAAATTAATTAGTAAACAAATTAATTAATAAACAAATTAATTAATAAGTTAATTAATAAACAAATTCATAAATAATTTAATAAATAAATTAATTAATCAATTAATGAACAAATTAATGAAGTAAATAAATAAATTAACAAATTTTAAAAGTAATTAGTAAACAAATAAATAAATTAATTAATTAATAAACAAATTAATATATTAATAAATAAATAAATTAATTATTAAAAAAAATTAATATATTGATAAATAAACAAATTAATTGTTAATAATTATAATTAAATAAAAATCGAAAATATAGTTATTTATTTCGTACATAATTTTTTTTTGAAAAGAACTATTTACAAAGTGTTTTTTTTTTAAGATAACCATACAGCATAATAGTGAAGAATTATTGTTCGAGGGTCAGAAATATTATTTTCTTAGTAAACCAGTTGATATGATTGTAGAAAAAAATGTTACAATTAATCGAAGATCCGATGAAGGTATAAATTTTCACTTGCAAATAAATTAAATATATTTTAATATTCACATTTTTTTTTTTTTTTTTTGAAATTCTAGATTTATATTATGCTGATTGGTTTGGTTTGATTCGAGATGTTATGGTAACAGAAATTTTTCAACTTAAAGCAGAAACTAAAGATTCTGGTAGAACTATGTACATTGGCGATAAACATCACGTTATTTTATTTGATTACGAACTTTATAAAATTGATTCGAAGGGAAAACCCTATTTTTCGGTTAGTGTAATTCTATTTTCATTTACACTTTCACTGATTCTAATTTTCACTTTCACTTCCATTTTTACTAATTCTAATTTTCAATCTCATTCTAATTTTTAGTTCCGCGTACATAAATTCTGATTTTCACTCTTCTTCTAATTTTTACTTCCACTAATTCTAATTTTCACTTTCATTTTTACTTTCACTTCCACCGATTAGAAAGTAAAAGTGAAAGTAAAAATAAAAATTGAAAATTAAAATTGTAATTTAGTATAAAAAATATGAAATCATATATATATATATATATATATATATATATATATATATATATATATATATATATATATATATATATATATATATATATATATATATATATATACAGTGTAAAATTTATTATTTATTTAGTCATGCAATTTGCCAAACTTACCTTGGGAGAGTTTGCAGTGTCAGTGTCAAGACGGTCTACCTTTACCTCCATTTTATTAATTACAATAACTGTAAAATAAAATACAAAAAAAGGAAGATTAATTTTTAACTTATTAATTGAAAATATAGAAAATGAATCTTCAATTTAATAACAGTAATAAATATGGAAAATGAATCTTTAATTTAATAACTTAAAATATAGAAAATGAATGATGAAAAACAAATCACGTTTCAGAGACAAGATAATGCTTTCTAAATAATGTATACAGCCAGTAAATTGGAATGTGTAAGATTTATATATATATTTTTCAAAATATTTTCACTTTTTTTTTCCTATGAGAATATAATATATATTATAAGCTTTTGAGCATCAGTATAGCAGATGGATAAAATATAGTTATGAGATGTTTACACGTCATACAGATGATGATGGAACTTTTTCTGATGACAAGACATATTTCTCATTTAATATAGTAACAAGTGCCTGCATCTCTGTTTATATTGTTCTGCATTAAATTTCCTACAACAAATGAAAGTAGAATTTTGTTTTTCATCTCTCTAAATCCAACTGTGTGGAAATATTTTATACAGTGACAGTACAGTTGAAATATTCCAAATAGTCAATGTATAGTTAAGTTATACAGAAACTAGCTAGAATGGTAACTATTCCAAACTATACTAAAACTAGCTAGAACAGTAACGGTATGACTAACAAGTTCCTTAAACTATATGGAAATTATTTTGTGCATCTAGATTCTTTTTCATTAGAAAGTTATTAGTGTTATTAGACAGTTGTACTATATAGTTTCTAGATAGTTAAATTATATAGAAACTGTAGAGAAAAGTTAAATTATTTAGAAAAATTAGGACTTACTAGATTTAAAAATTCTTACTTTATTATTTCATGTTTCTTTAAAGTTACTGTACAGTTGTACTATTTTCCATATAGTTAATGTATAGTTAGGTTACCTAGAAACTAGCTAGAATTGTAACGCTAGGATCAAGTTTCTAGATAATCAAATTATATGGAAACTATTTTGTGAATCTAGATGATTTTTTTTATAAAATAGTTCTTAGTATTATTAAATAGTTATACTATCTAGTTTCCACGTAGTTAACTATGTAGAAACTATCTAGCTTTCAGGTAGTTAACTATATAGAAACTATCCAGTGCATCTAGGTTATTTGGAAAAGTGACGACACATACTAGATTTAAAATCTCCTTCTTTTCCGTTTATTATTTCACGTTTCTGTACAGTACATTTATACTATTTTCTATATAGTTAAAGTACAGTTGAACTATGACAAAACTAGTTAACTATAATAGTTAACTATGATAAGTACTTAAACTTTATGAAAACTATCTAACGTATCTATATATTATTTAGAATAGGTTTACAATAGTTTCTACCTAGTTTCTAAATACTTAAACTATATGGAAACCATCTAGTCTTAACTATCTAGTATTAGGACAATTATATTATCTAGTTTTTAGATACTTTGACTATATGGAAACTATCTAAGGCTAACTTTCTAGTATCAGGACAGTTTCTATCCAGTTTTTAGATAGTCAAATTATGTGAAAACTATATACTTTCTAGATAGCTAAACTATGTGGAAACTATATAGTGCTAACTATTTAGCATTAGGAAAGTTATACTATCTACTTCCTAGAAATTTATCTATATGGAAACTATTTAGTGCGAACTAGAATCAAGGCAGTTATATTATATAGTTTCTAAATACTAAAACTATATAGAAACTATCTAGTCTTAACTATTTACTATTACAGCATTTATACTATCTAGATTCATGATAGTTAAATTATATGGAAACTATCTAGATCTAACTAACTAGTATCAAAGCAGTTATACTATCTAGTATTTAAATTCTTAAACTATATGGAAACTAGTGCTTACTGTTTAGTATCAAGACAATTATATTACCTTGTTTCTAGTTAGTTAAACTGTATTGAAACTTCCTGGTGCTAACTATCTAGTACGAGGACTATCTAGTTGCTAGATACTTATAATATATGAAAACTATCTAGTGCTAACTATCTAGTATCCGGATAGTTACACTATACAGTTTCTAGATAGTTAAACTATATGGAAACTATTTAGTGCGAACTATATAGTACTAGGACTATCATGCTTCTGGATACTTAAACTATATGAAAACTATTTAGGGCTCAGTATCTAGTATCAGGACAGTTATACTATCTAGGGCCTAGATAGTTAAACTATATGAAAACTATTTAGTGATATTTTGTATCACAAGTATCTAGTTTGTAGACAGTTAAAGTGTACGGAAACTAGTCTTTTCTATCTAGCATCAGGGCAGTTACACTATTCTGGATAGTTAACCTATATGGAAACTATCCAGCGTTTCTATATATTATGAAAAATTAGATTTAAGGGGGGTTTATGGTTTAAATTAGGTTTCCCAGACAGTATCTATCCAGTTTCTAATTAAAAAACACTTAGTGGCGTTTATACTATGAAACTATAAAAATTTTAGTTAATATCAGTAAACTTTTTTGTGATCAGTTACATGAGACGTTTACTGTACAGCTACTATCTTGATTGCACCAAAAAAAAAAAAATTTCTACACAAACAATGAATTAGTGAAAATTTAGAGATATTTTTTTTTTGAGAAAAATTTTCTGTTCAACAATATATAATAAAAATCTTTGTTATGGGTTAAAAAAAAGAATGTGAAAAGGAAAAAAAAGATCACCGAGGCATATATATATATATAGGGAATGACGTATATGCGGTCATTTAACCGTTTTACAGTGGTGGAAACTGGTGTTGGCAGCCATGTCGAACGCTTCGCTTATAACGAACTGCATCGATTCCAATATAGGTTCCAATGAAAAGGCCATATATATATATATATATATATATATATATATATGTATTGGAGAGGGGCTTTTTCGAGCTTTGCCAGGGAGATTGGCAGAAGTGAATTAGTATCATTGTTAATCGTAATCGAGTGTTTCATCGTTCGATGATTCCACCAGATGAGAGAGAGAGAGATGGAGAGGGGGGAAATGACGAGAGGGCGCATGTGTTTGTCATTTCACACTTCATCAATGTTTTTCCATTTTGATTGTTTTCATTTTAACTTCCACTAATTAATTATATTATTGTTATGCTTCAAAAATTATTTTCTCCTGTAATTCTTCAATTATCTCCCGATTTCTTGGGAATTTTAAAAAATAGTGAATTATGATAAAATAATAAATTATAATAACCTCTATCACAAAATTTACTATACTGACGCAGTACAACAATATTGTGCCCAGAAGTAAATTTTGATAATTTTTGGTTGGAACAAACTATAATAAAATTATAAATATAGTAAATGATAAATTTGTTAAATAATAAATAAATAATAATAAATAATAATAAATAAATAATAATAAATAAAATAAAATAATAAATGTATAAAATAAAAAAAAAATGTTTGAGTTGCCGAAAAAAAAGAAAATACGATTAAAAATTTGTATATACGCTCGAAAAGAGAGTCAAATTGATATTCCACGACAGGTGAAATAAGTGAAATAAAGATATATATAAAATAATAAATCAAAAAAAAAAAAAAGAGTTTTTAATCCGGGCAACAATGTTAGCCTCTCTTGAAAAAGTGGACGCGAGCGAAATTAATATTCACACAGATACAAAGTTCCCCCCCCTCCCCTCTCCCTCCACCTCCCACACACGACAAGTAGTTGACAGACGAGACGGACAGAAAAAATAAATCACACCTAGGGAGAAAAAAAAATTGCATTTTTTTGTTTTGTTTTTTTTTTTTTTTTTTGTCGACCATAACCACCTGGTGGCATAAAACTGAAGCGACGTCACTTTTAGCCCCCTTTTGAATACAGTGGCGACTGGAGCAATAAAGAGTTTTGAAAAACGGGGAACACGTTGGCGCGTACCGCTGTCGTGTACAGCCAATTCGTAATTGCAAAAAAAAAAGAAAAAAAAAAAAATACCACTAAAATCCACTACTCTCGGGTGAAATTTATCGTTTATTTTTTTTTTTGTACTTCAAGTGTTTTAAAGGTAAAAATAAAATTGTATTCTGTTATTTACTATTATTAACTGTTTATTACTATTAGCTGACTATTATTAATTATTAACTATTAACTATTATTATTAACTAGTTATTATTACACCCAGAGAAATGTTTTATTTAAACCAAATATAATATATTTGAGTTAAATAAACGTATATATATTTGTCTCACAACCTACTAGCCTATTTATTTGGCGTAAATAAAATTTTTTTATTTAAATCAAATAAAAATTTATTTAAATCAAACAAAAGTTTATTTGAATCAAATAAATATTTATTAGGCTGTAAGAAAAATAAATCATTTCTCTAAGTGTAACTATTAACTATTATTAATTAATTATTATTAACTATTATTTTGTTATAAAAAAATACAGTAAAAAATAAAATCGTTATATCAGAAGAAAATTTATTTGATTCAAATAATTGGTTACTTGACTATTATCAAATAAATATTTATTTGAACCAAATAATTTTTATTTGAATCATATAAACTGTATTTGAACTAATTATTTCTGTATTTGAAAAAAATATCATTTAAAAGACGCAAATAATAAATAATTTAATACAAATGAATATTTATTTGATAATAGTCAAGTAACTAATTATTTGAATCAAATAAAATTTTTACAGGGATAAGTTCGCGTAATTACACTCCAACTTACTCTTCCATTTACACTAAAATTTTTACACACGAACTTTCACTTTCACATTTACTAAAAAATTTACACTCTCACTTACACTTTCACTTACACTTTCACTTACACTAAATTTACAATACTAATATTCACACTCACACTTACACTTTCACTTACACTAAAAATTTTTACACACAGACATTCACTTTCACCTTTACTATAAAACTTTACACTCTCACTTACACTTTCACTTACACTAAGACTACAAGTGCAAGTGCAAAAAATCTAGTGTATGTGTAAGTGAAAGTGTAAGACAAATGAGTATAAAAAATTGTAGTATAAGTTAGTGTAAGCTTAAAAAATTTAGTGTAAGTGTAAATGTAAATGTAAGTTAGTATAAACGTAAAAAATTTAGTGTAAGTTGAAGCTTAAGTGAGTGAAAGCGTAAAACATT